ATTTTTTATTTTCTTACGGAAACGAATAGTTTCGAAGATATATTGATTTGAAATGTCGCGTGACGTCACTTCTCAGTACATTTTATACTAAGAAATGACGTTTTAGCCCCCACTCCTAAACTTTGATTCGTTTTATCTAAGTATTGTTTTATTATACAACAAAATAAAAAAATACGTGTCTAATATTTTTTTATTACCTAAGTTACGGACTAATTATATTTTTAGTTTTCATACCCTGTCATCATCCCCATTCCGATCGATCGACATTGGTATTGTGAAATTTCGTACTCTTGAATTTCGACACTAGCGACTATTGCACTCGTATTTTTTTAAGGGGGAAAAATCATCGAATGACTGCTCCCGCCTGGGCGAGGCGGGAGGGAGTGTCAGACTCTTACTGACTAAAAACCACCCCGTTCCTTCTCCTGCACGTCGAGCCGGAGCCCCCGTTACCCGTTACATTCTTTGCATCCGTATTGCGTCGATCGTCATTGGTATTGTGAAGTTTCGTACTCTTGAGTTGCAACACTAGCGCCCATTGCATCCATATTGCGTGAATATTGAATGAACTAAATGGTATTGAGTTTGGCTTTATATTCCGTACTCTAATAAATGCTATTCTAACAGCTACCATTGGGGATATATAGGTTTGACATTAAATAATTATTGAAATTCTATTGGATTGAACTTGCATTGACATTGAGATTGGTTTCAAGAGTAAGTACCATGTATTTATGTTTGTGCGATATTATCTCGAGATTGGCTCAACCAATTTTGATAAGGTCATCAGAACAGTGTTTATTATTCTTAGGACAAGGTTTTAGGTTTAATTAACCGACATAACATAACATCACGCCTTTTATCCCCGAAGGGGTAGGCAGAGGTGCACATTATGCCACTGTACAATGTAACACCCACTTTTCACACTATTTATGTTATGAGTCCCATGTAATAGGGGGTGAACCCATTGCCATATACCGGGCACATTTCCAGACTCCGTGCTACTACTGAGATTTTTTTTTTTAAAAACCCCTGTAATACTTTGCCCGACCCGGGAATCGAACCCGAGACCCCTTGCCCGGCAGTCGCACTTGCGACCACTCAGCCAACGAGGCAGTTTTAGGTTTAATTAACCGACTACAATAAAAAAATAGGGTTCAAGTCGGCTTTTTATACATCGTTTGTAAATGAATTATTTATGTTATCATGATGGTAATGTAAAATATAAATTTACCACCCCTACTCTTCCCGCGGGTGTCGTATGCCCAAACTAGAATATGTTTTGTTTAGTTGTTTTTAATCGTCGCCCCACATTAAGATTGTCTCCTGTGTCGTGGGTTTACAAACAAACAAGTTCACATAGACATCACACACCGACACGGAAAAACAATATGTGGATCACACAAGTAGTTGTTACGTGCGGGAATCGAACCCATTACACGTTCCACGACAGCTGATTGCCCAGCCTAAGCACCAACCGTGCAGTCAAAATCAATGTAGTGTGCGATGTCTGCCATGAGAGTCTGTGGTTCACGAAGGGTGGGAACCTGGATGTCTTCAAGGCCCGAGTAAAGTAGTGCTAATGTAGCCGTGCTCCATCGTAGAACGCATCATCGCTTACCATCAGGCGAGATAGTGGGCAAAACGAGACATTTGTGTGTGAGAGCCATGCTTCGGCAAGAATGGGCCGGCTAGACCGGAGTGACACCACGGCCGAGCAGAAAACCGACGTGAAACAACGCTTGCGTTGTGTTTCGTCGTGTGAGTGAGGTTACCGGAGGCCCAATTACACCCCTCCCCAGTCTCCCCAATCCGTGAATCCTCCACAATCCTCAAATTCCCAATTCCCAAAAGGCCGGTAAAGCACTTGTAACGCCTCTGGTGTTCCAGGTGTCCATAGGCGACGCCGATTGCTTACCATCAGGTGATGCGTCTGCTCGTTTACCGGATTATACCTTAAAAAAAGCGATGCTTATCTTTAAAACTACGCAACGGATGTTGATGCAGTTTTTCTTAATGGATAGAGTGATTCTTAAGGAAGGCTTATATGTATAATGGCTCTCCCACACTTAAATACCCATACATAGAGACAGACAGACGACGGATAGCGACTTTGTTTTATACTATGTAGTGATTAAGGACAGTAGGATATATATATATATATATATATGTCGCGGAGAACCTAACGGGTTACCGGGGCTCCGGCTCAACGTGCAAGAGAAGGAACGGGGTAGTTTTTAGACTCTTACTGATTTTCCCCCTTAAAAAAAAGGGATACATATAATTATACATACCTGCTTTTTATATACGCATATAGGTAGGATATGTTGATAAATTTTTATCAGTGCTTCCATCGCGTTCTTTTGTTCGACTTGCCACAAAAAATTGCGTAATTTTTCATCTTTTGCCAACTTCTCTTTAAATAATACAGCGTGATGTTCCAAGAGCGATATTATCACTGAAAATAATATTAAGAAGTAATACAGATAACATCACGCCTTTTATACCCGAAGGGGTAGTCAGAGGTGCATATTACGGCAGTTAATCCCACTGTACAATGTTACACCCACTTTACACTATTTATGTTATGAGTCCCATGTAATAGGGGGTGAGCCTATTGCCATATAATACGTATATACTGAACAAAATTGATTCCACAAACAAGAACTACGCGAGAATAGCGACAACAAGTCTTACCTTCGACAGCCTTGGATGATTTAGCTTGCCTGGATATTACACGATCATAGAACTGATTTAGTTCATTTGGATCTAAATCTTCCCAAAAACTCGCCAGCAAATCGTCAGTACCTTTCAGTACAGCTATTAGGACCGTGTTCGTAAAGGGACACTAAAAAAGTTAAAATTAGTTCATTAAAGTCAAAGAGTTGTGCTTTGACATGAATGGGCCGGCTCGACCGGAGTGATACTACGACGCGGATAAACGAGACCACGTTCAGCGCTCTAATTGGTTGGTTCATAAGAGCCGGCCAATCAGAGCGCTGAACGCGGTCTCGTTTCGCTTACTTAAATATAAAAACCACCTCGTACAAAGCCTCAGGCCACCACAGACCTGTCTCAAAGTAGGGCTGATTGCCCGACCTGGAGCTGCAGACAACCTAACGGAGACCATGGCTCCGGCAGAAGCGTGATTAGGAACGGCCACCATTCCTACTCATGCTGAGTCAGTAAGAGCCTGACACTCCCTCTCGCCTCATCCAAGGCATTCAAGTCATTGGATGTTTAGGGTATAGAGAGTAAAGTTCCCTATGATCGGAAAAGGAGGATCCTCCGACCAAGCGAGGTGTTCGTGGCTGGCGGGCTTTCTGCCCAACAGTTGTTCGTTGGGATTGTCTATCCGTGTTAATTTGCATGTAAACTTCACATGTGCGATGTAGGATTTTTATGACGTCATCCGCTGATTTTTTCCGTTGAACTTGTCATGCTGTCATTTGACATGTGTCGCCACAGATGATTTTAACACAAAAATATTGCAATAGGGTAGACGACTAATTTTTATTTTAATGTCCGTCTGGTAGATTATTTAAAAACATTAGACACGTATTTTTTATTTTCTTACGGAAACGAATAGTTTCGAAGATATATTGATTTGAAATGTCGCGTGACGTCACTTCTCAGTACATTTTATACTAAGAAATGACGTTTTAGCCCCCACTCCTAAACTTTGATTCGTTTTATCTAAGTATTGTTTTATTATACAACAAAAGGCTCGACCGGAGTGATACCACGGCCGAGCAGAAGACCGACGTGAAGCAACGCTTGCGTTGTGTTTCGTCGTGTGAGTGAGGTTACCGGAGGCCCAATTACCCTCCCCCCTACCCCGTTCTCCCCAATCCCTGAATCCCAAAAGGCTGGTAACACACTTGTAAAGCCTCTGGTGTTCCAGTTGTCTACGGGCGACGCCGATTGCTTACCATCAGGTGATCCGTCAGCTCGTTTACCGGCTTCTACTATAAACAAAATAATGAAATCTTACCTTCCTAACATCATCATTGACCTTGAAGATGCCGTTAACCACAATATCCTTCTTCTTGTTACTCGGCAGATTGTCGTAGAACATTATAGATGTCAACAACATTTTGCCGCTGTTTGATAGATTGGATTCTATGCACCACGATATCTGTAATTATAGTTTTTTTTCTATTTTATTTTTTATTCTTTTTAAAAAAACGTTGCCCCACACTAGGATTTTCTCCCGTGTCGTGTGTGCGTTTACAAACATACAAGTTCACGTACACATGACACCCAGACCCGAAACAACAATCTGTGGATCAAACAAAGTGTTGTTCCGTGCGGGAATCGAAACCGCGGCACGTTGCACGGCAGCCGGTTGCTCAGCCACCGCACCAACCGCGCAGTCGATTTTTATATAATAATATATTTTATATATAGATTATCCTTACTTATATATATTATAAATTGGAAAGTGAGTTTGTTTGTTTGTTCCGCTTTCACGCCGTAACTACTAAACGGATTGCTTTGAAGTTTTGCAGACGCAAAGTAAGAAATCTGGATTAAATAATAGGGTACTTTTTATCCCGGAAAAATTTAATATTCCTGAGGGAAAACAAGTGTTGGTATAGATGGCGCTGTGTGTATTGGTATATGTCACATAGGCTACTTTTTATCCTTAATTGACGCGAGCGAAGCCAATAAAAGCTAGTTCAATATATATTAACTAATCAGAGTCACTGGATAAATAAATTGAGCTATGTTTGAATAAAAAATCACAGTATATACTCACAGTGGCAGCCTCATCGTAGTCCACTCTTTTACTCCTGAGCTGGTACTCCAAGTTCTCCCCAGAGCTGAGAACCATCTCACCACCTGCTTGTCCAGCGCTGGCCTGTATCAAAACCTTCAAAGCCGTATGTTTGACTACAATAGACCCTGAAGTAATCCTGGGTTTTATTTCTGAAGCTAATATTTCCTGAAAACAAGAAACTGTTCTTAATAGACTTCAAAACATGAAGGGGATTCTCAACTTGACCTGGGGACTTACTCTTGAATACAATGGGGTAGACGACTAATTTTTATTTTAATGTCCGTTTGGTAGATTATTTAAAAACATTAGATACGTATTTTTTATTTTCTTACGGAAACGAATAGTTTCGAAGATATATTGATTTGAAATGTCGCGTGACGTCACTTCTCAGTACATTTTATACTAAGAAATGACATTTTAGCCCCCACTCCTAAACTTTGATTCGTTTTATCTAAGTATTGTTTTATTATACAACAAAATAAAAAAATACGTGTCTAATATTTTTTTATTACCTAAGTTACGGACTAATTATATTTTTAATTTTCATACCCTGTCATCATCGCCATTACCTCTGCCGTTGGCATCTTGTGTGTAATAGTTGTGTTTCGTCGTGTGAGTGAGGTTACAGGAGGCCCGATCTCATTTACCTACAATCCTGATCCACCAAAAAGGTCGGCATCGCAGTTGTAACTCTTCTAGTCATGCAAGTGTCCAGGGCGACGCCGATTGCTTACCATCAGGTGATTTGTCTGCTTATTTACGACCTATATTTGGTACTCTAACGTGCACTTATTTTATGAAGTTTTTGTGGCAAAAATAGGGTATATAAGCCATAAGCGAGCAAAGCACTAAAGCTCATAAATAGAAAATAAATAAAAAGTAGGAGCCTAAGGGGCCATTCAAGTATTACGTAAGCACCATCGGGGGGTCTCTGTTCCGCTTACTTTGGATGATATAGGGGAGTCTAGATGATGATTACGTCATCGGTAGTTATTTACTTTTTTACACAAATGGCAACCCTCATATTGGAATTATAAATTACAAGCAAAGACCAACAAAGAACTAGACATTTGGTATCTAAGAGAATATTAAAATTACAATATGTATAAAAAAGATATCATTTAAAATGTTTACGTAAGCAATGGGAGAGGGGGTAAGATCTTTGCTTACTTTTTCTGACAAGGGGGATTGGGGGGGGCGTAAATATTTGTTAAAATCTGCTCACGTAATATTTGAACGGCCCCTAATCGCCGTAGTCGAAACCGACGTGGAGAGATATCAAAAAATATTATTCTTTATCCTCACCCACGGATCATTGAACATGTTGAGGTAAGTTCTCCAAATTAATTTGCAGCGGCTTTCTGTCCTGACGTTTTCAGGGAAATATCTGCATAAAGCGCCTGGAATACAGATTTTCTATTAATACTAGCTTCTACCGGCGACTTCGTAAACGCAATCCTGTTTTTTCCCGTCCCTGTTCGTGATTCTCGGTAAAAAGTGAAATAAGTATTGGATAAAAAGTATCTTATGCCCGTCTCCTGGTTCTAAGCTACCTCCCCAACAATATTCAGCCAAATCTATTTAGCCGTTGTTGAGTTATAAATAGTGTAACTAACACGACTATCTTTTATACAAGGTGTAGTTTTGAAACCGTGTCATTTCTCGGGGGCATGTCACAGAAGTCATAAAGGTTTAATGTAAGAGAAAATTTCGGGCCCATATTTAAAAATACGGCTATAATAAATCGTTTAAGTTCGACAGTATTTCAGAATAAGCGACAGCTATGTTTCTTATTGGAGTTTTATGGAATTAGGAATAATATCAATTACGTATTTGAGTTTGTGTGTGTTAAGCGGAGTTATTAAACTGTCAAACACCAAGCGGTCACCGGTGACCGCAACCTATTGTTCTATAATTGTGTCTGCAAAACCGGTACTCGACGAGTTAAGCTAGTTACAAGACGGTGGCGTGTACTTCGCAATTACGGATTTCCGTAATTTCAGAAAAATTAAAAATATTTACCTACAATTTTTTATTGATTCGGACTCAGTATCGATATCCGAGTTACCTCCTAGAAAATGACGCGGCTTTAAAACAACACCTTGTATACAGGGTGTCGAGTACCATACTGTAAGGGGTGATAGCTAGGATCAATACCTACCTAAACAAAGCAATTCAGTGAAAATGTACGGTTTAAAAATTATACCACTCTAGGGTTGCTGGTTGTGAAATTAAAGCCCCGGTTTTCTCGATGATTATTTATTTATTGGCAACTTCACTGTTACATACATATAAACTAATCAAGATAATTGCAACCCTAAGTGGTGGGATGAAAGGGATTGCGTGGCTATCGTCTTTCAGACCTCCCCTAGCTGGCTAATTCCAGAAGACCGCTAGGCTATCGAACTGAAGTTAGTCGTACTTAGGTTCAGAGAAGGCTGCTAGGCTACCGAACTCTGATTCTCTAGCTAGTAGAATGATAATTTGTTCGAAGACAACTCTGCCTACAAAGGCGGATGGTTTGTGTGTGCTCAATCTTCATAATAGTTGTTTGTAGTTGTAGTTGTTTTGGATATATTATACTAGATGGCGATGAGTGTCCGTTACACCACATTTTTTTAAATATCAAAGATCACTTATGGTGATTTTGATTTTGAAAAGGTATAATAATAATAATACATTAAACGAGATAATTTTAACGCTTGTTGTAAGGGCATTGACTAAAATTGGTGCCTTTCCTTATGGCGGCAATCGATGATTTATGAAAAATATTGTCTAGAACGACATTACAAATTGTCTATGTGCTCATATATCAAAATCTCAGTCCGGGCTGAGATATGAGCGTTGAAAGGTGTTGGAGTCGAACATTTTAAATTGCTATTTTTATTCAAATTGTTCGTATTTTTATCATAATTCCTAACTTCAAATTGCGCGTCAGTGTACACCTGGCACAGGTACACCATATAAACCACAACATTTTATCAGCTATTTTCTCTCAGTCGATAACTTGTGGGATGCTTCAAGGTGTTGTGCCATGGTCGTACGTGAGCCTCAGCTGCGGTACCAGTGGTGGGGTGACTAGTGGCAGCCGCCCAAACATCTAACAAAGTACTATTTTTTAGCTGTTTACTCCTGATTGGAAACTATTATACTTAATAGTTAGCATAATCTTTGGAAGAAATGGAATCGTCAGCTGGTTGTGAAGTGATGGACTATACGTCAGATGAGGGCACCATCTTATACTTCTTATACTATTATATAAAGCGGAAGAGTTTGTTTTTTTGTTTGTTTGTTTGAACGCGGTAATCTCCGTAACTACAAGTCAGATTTGAATAATTATTTTTGTGTTGGATAGCGCATTGATCAAGGATAAAACAACACGCTACGACCAATACGAGGTGAACAGAGCGTGTGAAACCGCGCGGAAGTAGCTAGTTTTTTATATTTGTGTGATCAGGCGAAGTATACCTAATCCATAATTTTTGACGATATCTTTCTACAAAATGTTATGCTAACTGTAGATTAACTGTAGCAGTATTAGGTACTAGTCTCCCGACTACGTCTTTTCTGTTTTAGAAAACATTTTGCACACATGACGTCGATATGTTTTGACGCCGATTGCTTACCATCACGTGATCCGTCTGCTCGATTACCTGCTTATACCGTAAAAAAAATATTAATCTAGACTGAAATAAACTTACCAACTAATTCAGCTAGTGGAGCTTTACAGGACTTAGCTTTTTCAAACGCATTAATTACATTTACGACAAATTCATCAGTAAGAGCCACCGAAGGTTGCTTGACAACTTTCAGGAGACACAGGATGGCCTCTTTGCGCGTTTGTGTATCAAATGAGAGCGAACAGAGCTAAAAATAAGTACAAGTAATGCATAATAAATAATATTCATATTCAAGTATGGGAGAGCCGAGCTTCGGCACGAATGGGCCGGTTCGACCGCAGTGATACCACGGCCTCACAGAAAACAGAAACAACGCTTGCGTTGTGTTTCGTCGTGTGAGTGAGGTTACCGGAGACTCAATTGCCCCCTTTCCCCAGTCTGCCTAATCACCGAATCTCCCACAATCCTCAAATTCCCAATCCCCAAAAGGCCGGTAACGCACTTGTAACGCCCCTAGTGTTTCGGGTGTCCATGGACGACGCCGATTGCTCACCATCAGGTGATCTGTCTGCTCGTTTACCGGCTTATTCCATAAAAAAATGTAATATTATTTGCTTTAAACTGTTTTAAAGAGCTTTATTCTATCAATCAAACCGTTCTTTTTATATCCATAATGGAGGTAGTTGTGGTAATAATTATATTATATCGCATGGTCATCAAGATTAAGAGTGTGTACCAAAATACAAGAACGATCTGTCGTAAAGAAGGGGTTAAATTCTAGTTACTAATTAACTTTGAATATTTGACAATTCTTCGGGGCCATTCAAGTATTACGTAAGCACCATGGGGGAGGGGGGGTCTCGCTTATTTCGGTTGATATTGGGGTTAGGGGAATCTAGATGATGATTACGTCATCGGTACTTATTTACTTTTTTACACGATAGGCAACCCTGTGAGGGTTGCCATTCGTTGAAATTATAAATTACAAGCAAAAACCGACAAAGAACTAGACATTGTAGTATCTAAGAGAATATTAAAATAACAATATGTATAAAAAAAGATATCATTTAAAATGTTTACGTAAGCAAAGGGGTAAGATCTTTGCTTACTTTTGCTGACAAGGGGGATGGGGGGGGGGGGTTATATCATTGCAAAAAAATCTGTTTACGTAATATTTGAACGGCCCCATACTAAAAACTGTCAAATGTTAATTTTATTTTACAGTTAAAAACTATCACAACTTTAAGTTCGATATTACATAAATCTGCAGTCACCAATGGACACTATGGCAGTATAGTCGACAAGGCCGTTTGCCAAAGAAGAAAAGGATTAAGTGATGATTGATAAATCGGCCATCTAAATGATCTAAACAAACAAATTCTAAATCATATAATTCATCTAGTTACGTTATCCTGAACAGTGATCTAGTATCATGGAATCATAAATTCTGGGCCAATTGCTTTAGTTCAGAAAAGAATACCATATTTTGTGGAACTAAGAGTAATTTTCACCACAATTGAAGTGACTACACTGAAATAAAATGTATTGCTCTATTAGTGACGAATTTCATCAAAGTTGGCGCATTTAATAAGAGCTCGATAATGATACATTATTTCTTAAAACTGACACAAACATATTTTTCAACGAAATTCCGTTTCGATCAATTTATTTGGCATAACATAACATAACATCACGCCTTTTATCCCCGAAGGGGTAGGCAGACGTGTACATTACGGCACTTAACGCCACTGTACAATGTAACACCCACTTTTCACTACTTATGTAATGAGTCCCATGTAATAGGGGGTGAGTTTATTGCCATAACCGGGCACATTACCAGGCTCCGTGTGAGACTGAGATTTTTTGAAAAAGCCCTTTGCCCGACCCGGGAATCGAACCCGAGACCCCTTGCCCGGCAGGCGCAATTGTGGCCACTCGGCCAACAAGGCAGCCAATTTATTTGTCATCCTAAAATTTATTCTAGTGGACCTAAAGTGCACCTACAAACCTCGTATTCACTAAGTAACACTTTGCACGCCACATAATATCCCATGCTGCTGACTTACCTCAACGAGCTCTTGATTATAATTCTCGAGCACATCCCAGTGTGTATCGATCAATTTCGACAACAGTTTTATAGAATCCGCGATGTACTTCACCCATGCCTCATCATTTCGCTTTTTATTCGATTTTATTGTCTCAAACAGATGTATAGGTTTGAAGAGCAACGTCTTAGTCAGCCATTCTGGAAAAACATTACAGTTTTATTATAGGCTATTTTTTTTAGGTACAAGCTCAAGCAAAGCAAAGTTGCAAGCGCTGCAACTCCTGTGCTCCAGGATCTACAGTAGATACAACCATGCAAACACCGGAACACTGAAGTCCGGCGCGTCACAGGGACATGAGTAACTGTCTTGGTTCCCGCAACGAAGTGAATCAGAAGATATTACCTCTATACGAGGAGAAGAAAAAAAACGATAGTATCCACTTCCCTCGATAAATTGCTGCACTGAGACAGAATACATTAAACATAAAGGCACAAAAAAAAGAGACTGTACAATTGGGTGAAGCTTAGTTGCCAAGCACCACGGAAATTTGACTAAAAACTGAGTGGTGTAAGTTTATTACAGGTTAGGCGAGAAGTGGTATTATGGTGGGATAATATATGTTGGAGGTCTGGCGAGAAGTTGTACTCGCATAGTACGTGTTTGAGGTTTTCCGAGGTGAACAGAATCATCCATCCATACTGACATCGTTGAGATTTCTCGTCCCAAACAGGAAGGTGGCTGTGCCCGAGGCAGAGACAATTTGAAGTCCCAACCACTCGCACTAACATAGGTAATTTTTTTATGGCATATATCGGTAAACGACCTGACAGATCACCTGATGGTAAGCAATCGGCGTCGCCCATGGACACTTGGAACACCAGAGGCGTTACAAGTGCTTTACCGGCCTTTTGGGGATTAGAAGTTTGAGGGATTCTCATGTGAATATACCGAAAAAGGCTCTACTAGTTTCGAACTACAGAGGGGTCTTCCTCATGAGCAGCGTGCACGGTCGTGGCGATATCGCGCAGCCTATTGGCTAGCGTTGGCGCTCGCATCGGTGTTGCTACTAGCGCCTTGAGCCCGCCGCGCCCTCTGCCGGATACCACGAGCGTTAGCTCCTAACTCCGGCGACGACGCGTTGGACGATGTTGAAGCGCAGGGTACGTTACCAGCAGCAGCAGCTCAATATATTCACGTGAGTAATCCGCGATTTTTAGTTAATTTACACTGACCTGTTTCAAACGGCGCTAGATCTTCAGCAACGATAATGTTAGCTGTTCGGATAGCTTTCGCGTAGTCGATGGGCCCCGGATTATCTGGGTATGACGTCACTACCGCATCCCAACTCTCCATTATTGGGTTTCTGAAAATCAAATATTATTATTATCAGAATACTAGCTTCTGTTTCGCCCGCGTTTGCGTGGAATAAAAAGTAGCCTAACGAGTTATCGGGGCTCCGGTTCGAAGAACAGGTGGCTTACTCTTAAAACCAATTCCGATCGATCGACATTGGTATTGCGAAATTTCGTACTCTTGAGTTGCTACACCAGCGCCCATTATATCCGTACTGCGTGGATATTGAATGAACTAAATGGTATTGTGTGACGTAGTAGTTAATCATTAATGCATAAGAATATGAACTGTATCTCTAGAGAGGAGGGAGGATTAATAAACAGAACGTGTTACAATTAACATCTTGTTTGATTTATCGAAGTCCCGTCCTTACAATTGAGTTTGGCTTTATATCCCGTACTCTAAATGCTATTTCAACAGTTACGATTGTGGTTGTTTAGTGTTGACATTGAATAATTATTGAGATTTTATTGGATTGAAATTGTATTGACATTGAGATTGGTTTCAAAAGTAAGTACCCTGGGCGGTTTTTAGGCAGGAGGAGGAGGAGTGGAATTCTTTGCCAGATTCTGTATTTCCTGAAGGGTATAACCTGGGTGTCTTCAAAGCCCGAGCGAATACGTGCTCCATCGTAGACCGCATCATCGTGCCACCACCAGGCGACATAGAGGTCAAAGATCGGCCCAATATTAAAAAAAGTAATTGGATGATATTCCCCCCTCAAAAATAGACCATCATGTACCCCTACTTCAAATTAATAACATACCTAAGTAAGTACCGGTCCCTTCAGTGATTTGACGTGTTTGAGTATCTACCAAATATAAAAACAAGCTTAACAACCTTTCATATTTACTAGCTGTTGCCCGCGACTTCTTCCGTATAGAATACTTTTTTTATGGGATAATCCGGTAAACGAGCAGACAGATCACCTGATGGTAAGCAATCGGCGTCGCCCATGGACACCTGGAACACCAGAGGCGTTACAAGTGCGTTACCGTCATTTTGGGGATTAGGAGTTTGAGGATCGTTGGGGAGATTGGAAAAGAGGAGGGTAATTGGGCCTCCGGTAACGTCACTCACACGACGAAACACAACGCAATCGTTGCTTCACGTCGGTTTTCTGCTCGGCCGTGGTATCACTCCGGTCGAGCCGGCCCATTCGTGCCGAAGCATGGCTCTCCCACACTTAAAATATGATTCCTGTTTTATCCCATGGCAGCATTTAATCAGGATCAAAACTCTCCTATCACCTAAGTCAGCCCATAGCCTGTATACTGAATTTCATCAAAATCCGTTCAGTAGTTTCAGCGTGAATGACTGACAAACATCCAAACATTAATATAAAGAAACTTATACATTGATAATATTACATAACATCACGCCTTTTATCCTCGAAGGGGTAGGCAGAGGTGCACATTATACCACTGTACGATGTAACAAACATTATGCCACTGTACAATGTAACACCCACTTTTCACTATTTATGTTATGAGTTCCATGTAATAGGGGGTGAGCCTATTGCCATATACCGGGCACAATTCCAGACTCCGTGCTACTACTGAGAATTTTTAAAAACCCAATAAATTTATTGATAACTAGCTTCTGCCCGCGGCTTCGTACACGCAATCCCGTTTTCTCGTCGCGGAGAACCTAACGGGTTACCGGGGCTCCGGCTCGACGTGCAGGAGAAGGAACGGGGTGGTTTTTAGTCAGTAACAGTCTGACACTCCCTCACCCAGGCGGGAGCAGTCATTCGATGATTTTCCCCCCTTAAAAAAAATCCCGTTTCCTCCCGTTTCCGTAGGATTTTCAGAAATTTTTTCTGTTATAAGAACCTTCTCCTAACAATAACAAACACAACAAAAAAATCAGCCAAATTATATATGTAGATATTATAGTGTGATAATAAATACTAAGCACACGTTGGTAACTATAGTTTATCGTAACTGCATGCATTATATCGATTTTATTTATCTCAAGTGTAGGCCGATAACGAAGGGGAATTTTTCGCATAATTTTATTTTATACATACAATAAGTAGGTGGCTGGTGACAGCAGAAGATTATAAATTTGTCACCACGCCTAATTCCGCTTCTGCGCCTAATCAATCAATACATAGTATAACACAAAGTCGCTTTCGCTGTATGTCCGTATGTATGCTTAGATCTTTAAAACTACGCAACGGATTTTGATGCGGTTTTTTTTAATAGATAGAGTGATTCTTAAGGAAGGTTTATATGTATAATACATGCATATTGCACCCGTGCGAAGCCGGGGCGGGTCGCTAGTTATTCCTAATTATTCCGCGTCTGTCGCTGAAAATCAGCGCCGTGGGCTCGAGCCTCTGTGCCCGGTCCACGGTATTAAGCTGAGCTCCAGCCTTTTGCGCTGCGACGCACCATGGGCTTTTTTTGTATTTCTAAATTCATGTTGTGTGTCGTAGCAAAATAAATGATTTTTCTTTCTTTTTTTCTTTATTTCGTACTAGCGACCCGCCCCGGCTTCGCACGGGTGCAATATGCATGTATTATACATACAAACCTTCCTTAAGAATCACTCTATCTATTAAAAAAAACCGCATCAAAATCCGTTGCGTAGTTTTAAAGATCTAAGCATACATACGGACATACAGCGAAAGCGACTTTGTTTTATACTATGTATTGAAGAACCGAAAGGGACTAAGTCTAAAAAACGTTGCCCCACACTAAGTTTTTCTCCTGTGTCGTGGGTGTGTTTATAAACATACAAATTCACATACACATGACAACGAGACACAGAACAACTATTTGTGGAGCACACAAAGTGTTGTTCCGTGCGGAAATCGAACCCGCAGCACGCTGCATGGCAGCCGTGCAGTCATATAATTTTTTTATGTAAGCCGGTAAATAAAACCTGATGGTAAGCAATCGGCGTCGCATCGGGCGTGTGTTATTTGAGGATTGTTAGCGATTCAGGGATTGAGGAGATTGGGGAGGTAGATAATTGGGCCTCCGGTAATCTCACACACACGACGAAATAAAAAAACGACGTTTTTCTGTGAGGTCGTGGTTAGGGTTGCCACCTTTTTTGTGGTATTTAAAGTACATTGACGATTATAGGTAAGAAAAAAAAGTACACAGTACAAAAATAAAGTACAATTTATTCTTATTTAGTATTATATTTAAATATATATTTTATATTGCTTTTTGCAGTTTGTATTAAATTAGTATCTTTACTAAACAATTGCATTTAAATACTAAACAATTGCATCTTTACTAGAAATTGTCTAGGTGGCGCTGGCAAGTGGCGAAATCGTTTCAACATATATCGATAAATATCGATATCGAATCGATAAGTTTACCGAAAAATACTTACGACTTTAATAGAAATGAAGTTCGCAAAAACAAAGTATTTCCGTGTACTTTATTATTCTTATAAAATATAGAGTACAATTACCTTAAATAACGTACAATACTTTATAATAAAGTACGGGTGGCAACCCTAGTCGTGGTATCACTACGGTCGAGCTGGCCGGAGTATGGCTCTCCCATTTTTATGGATGGAGCCATTTTATCCTTTTCGGCAAACTAGGTTTAAGCCTAGAGCGCCAGGCTACCGAGGGGTGCCAAGAAACGCGTGTCTCTAACTAGATTTAACTTAGAGGTACTTGCCTTTTTTTTTTAAGGGGGGAAAATCATCGAATGACTGCTCCCGCCTGGGTGAGGCGGGAGGGAGTGTCAGACTCTTACTGACCAAAAACCACCCCGTTCCTTCTCCTGCGCGTCGAGCCGGAGCCCCGGTCACCCGTTAGGTTCTCCGCGACTAGAGGTACTTGCCTACGGCACCCTCTAGGTTAAATGCGTCTTTGGCTAATAGTATATATTATTTATCACACAAAATACAACAAAAACTATTGTTTGTTATTTTTTATCAGATGTATTCATCTGATAACTAAAAACTGCATTATTAACAGAGATAAAACACAAAATCACTTACGGTTCAATCTCCTCCATTTAAATAACAGAAAAAAATGAAATAGTAACCAAAAGAGGTTAATAATAAGAGCCAACAAGTTACAGCAAGTCAGCGCTTGTCGGATATCGATGCAATATGAAGTTTTTCATTTGGACAATGCAAATTATTGGTGCACCGCAGATTAGATAAGATTATGAATTGCGGTGGGTGAAATTATTGAGATAAAACTAGGCACTCCCGAGCGGTTGCACCTACTCCGCTAGTTTATTATATATTTTGTTTTTTATGGCATAACCTAGTAAATGAGTAGACGGATAACCTAATGGTAAGCAATCGGCGCCGCGCCAGGACACCTGTAACGCGTCTGTACAGGTCTGTACAGGAAAACCAGTAAGATCAGACATGTTGAGACTTGTAATGCACACGAAAAGGTATATAAACCAACTCACTTTCCCATTTCTAATATTAGTAAGGACTTAACATTCTATTCATAATTTAATCAGTTTATGTAGAAGTGTGTTTAGCTTAAGTTTATTCGGAATACACCAGCTTTAGGAGAACATTTTTCAGGGATTGAAACCTGACAGGAAAATTTTACCCATGAGCACCTACCGATAAGAATTTTTAAATAAAGTGCAGTTATCATGAGTATAACAATTCTGAAATTGAGAATTTTTTTTTACCCAACCAGGTATCGGACCTCTGATATATATATAGAACTAGCTACGAGCAAGCACGCGCGGTTTCACTCGCTCTGCTTGGCGCCTATTAATCGTAGCGTGATACTTTATAGCCTTCCTCGATAAATGGGCTATCCAACACAGAAAGAATTTTTCAAATCGGACCAGTAGTTTCGGACATTAGCGCGTTCAAACAAACAATCAAAAAAACAAACTCTTTAGCTTTATAATATTAGTACCTATAGATAACGAGATACCACGTTAATTTGATATTTGTTTAAGGCAATAGGTACGCCTCATTAATAATACGGGCTAGGTACTACTTACAGAATATTACTGAAAAAATCTAGAAAGCTTTATCTTTACGCAGAGCCTAAAATCTAGCATATTTTTTTTAAACTTAACATCTAGTACTAAGTAGATGCCTACATAAAGCATTTGAAGTAATTTCAAAATGATTTCTTACCAATATATATGATCGCTTATTGGATTTTTTACTAAACAGCTTCCACTTACAACTTAAAAAAATGTAAACAAAACAAGTTTCGACTTTCGACAAGTATACCGGCAGTTTAATGTCACTGTCACAGGACGAAGGATTGTAGAAATGTCAATGTCAAAAATTAGTCTCATTTTGACAGTACGACAAAGTGTTGCTAAAATATCATGAAAAAATTCTACTTATTGTTTAGTCTGTATTTCCCTTCTTTTTTTTTTTTTAGGGGGAGAAAATCATCGAATGACTGCTCCCGCCTGGGTGAGGCGGAAGAGAGTGTCAGACTCTTACTGACTAAAAACCACCCCGTTCCTTCTCCTGCACGTCGAGCCGGAGCCCCGGCTACCCGTTAGGTTTTCCGCGACTCCGAATCGGCATCGGCCCTATTGGGCCCCATCTGTGGTGGTCTGATGGCTCTTTGAGGCGCGCGCGGAACGCGACGTGCCGTACGCTCGGGTCTGTTTCTGGTCGGACGGGGAGCCGCCCATGCTCGCCGTCCGCAGGCCCGCGCGTCTGTATCCCCTTGCAAGATGAGAACCTCAATCGGCAAAGGATAATAGCCTGATTGGCAATTTTATTATGCCAGGCCATGGGGTCCAAGTATATAATTATCTTCATTATAAAAATATTGTACCAAGATGGTTGGCACTTCAAGTGTTCGAAACGCTGGCTACAATCTTACTTAATAGTTAAGCACTGCCATCCAACGTGGCAATGCTGCCTGTTTTTGGGGCACCTTACTCTCATGACAATGATGAGGATGTTTTTTCTTTATTATCTAAGTTAGTTTCTTTTCCTTGTCTATTTTTCTATATTTCTTAAGTTTTGTTTTTGCCTATATAGATTAGTAAACATTTTTGCTATCGAGTTTTGTAATGCATTTTAAAAATGGCTTGCCAGCTCTTTGAGTCACCAGACCAGAGGGCTGGCTATTACATCGACCAAAAAAATAACATTGCTATTTAAAGTGGCAATGCTGTTAGTCTTATGTGAACTTCGCCCAAGAATAGTGATGCGTATACATACATGAATACTTTGACGCCTAATTCAGGCAGTATTTTTATTTCTTTGCATCTCTTGTTTAGAAATACTTAAAGTTTTATTTTGTACTTTTGAAATAACAAGTTGCCCGTTAAGGTACCGATTTGTGGGTTCGTCCAAATTTTAATATTCAAGAATTTTACACATAAACATGACAGTTATAGATCAAAATCCAACGGTTATACCAAGGAAAATGGCTTGGTTATATAAAATACAGTTAAAACAAGGTTTTTAATTTATGTATAAATGTTTAACTCGTCAAGTACCGTCATTATAGATAATAATATAATTATAGAACAATAGGTTGCGGTCGCCGATGACCGCTTGGTGTTTGACAGTTTAATTTGAAAACACAGAGCTTGCGCCTATGTTATGAATGCAACTTTCTTTCATAAAAACACCGTAAGAATTGTCATACCACAAGATTGATAGTTTTCATAAAATTCAAACATTTTAGTTCTTTTTTGTATGTAGACATTTTATTACTTTCTACCAAATTTTTCAGTAGGTAGCCACACTTAACAGAAAAACGTTTGGAGCTCAGCTGACACGTATACAGATAAAAACAAATTACGACTGTTCATTATTGATCACTCGGTGTTTGTTCTGCTAAAGATTTCACGTTTATATTTTAACAAGTAGTGATACTTTAACGTTATATGTTTACCCGAATGTTTTAAAACATTCCAGTGCGTTATATAATCCATTTTGGTAAGTATTATTAATAATATTTCGTCTTTTATTTGCGTGTAACTAAACGTAAAAGATAATAATTATAATCCAGCTAAATAAAATGTATACAAAAACCGATATATAGCGCAAAATTAGGTGTACCACGTAATTTATGTGTATTACAATCTGACAATTCATCAGATCGGTCGATATTTTCAGTGATTTACAATCTTGAAATTATTCAAATTAATTTTAATTAAATATAAATTAAGTTTAATATATTCAAGCTGGCACCACGAAGAATTATTTGGTTGGGAATACAATATTTTTCTCCTTTGTTACACCGTGCGACATCCAATAGGTTAGAATTCTGAATTATTTGTATTTTTTTTGCGTAATATGTAAATATTGATGTGAAGGATACTTGGAAATGCGATAAATATTACGTATTAAGATGTTTGGAGTTCATTGGTCCCAAAAATGTAAAGTTATATTAGTAGAAAATTTAATAATCGTTTTCTAATTGATCTTAAGGTTTCAAGGACTAATTTCAATAAGTTATTTTTCAGAAATGTTTAATAAAATGTATTTTGTCATGTATTCTAATATTATTAAAGATTTTTTTCTCGGAATAGTACTTCGTCTTTGACAATAGTTACTATATTTTCTTTATGATTTCTCTTTGAATCAGTTGTATATGGCAAATTTTAGACATATAATAGTTTGCATAAATACTTCTTAGTTATTTTCTAATTTGTTTGATTCGGTCAAGTGTAAAATAGGTTTTGCTTATAATTTAGCTCATTAAAAACTTATGAGATTATTGTCTTGTATGTGCCTGTAGAGAAAATTTAACTCAGATTGACCAGTTAGGCACTGACTATGTAAGTAATAAGTTTTCTTTTCATTATTTATAACAAACTAGTGGACCCTGCAGTCTTTGTTTCTTCTTAGAAATTTTTCTGCAAAACACTTTAATGGTTTTCTTAGTCAAAGTCAAAGTCAAAATCATTTATTTCAATTACACAAGGAAGGTAAGTACTTTGGAATGTCAACAAAAAGTTTTAAGTGAAGCTATTCACTCATTCCAAGAAGTAGGTTCCTATGGAGAAGAATAACCAAGAAACTCTATTTTATTTATTTCATTACAGTCACAATGGTTGAGAAAAACCAATTAGCCCATTGAAAATTGTTGAAAATCATCCCCTAAATTTGTTCATACAAAAGTAGTCTCTTAACATTAGAAATATGGTCTATAATGTAGTTAGTGGAGAGTGGTCACCGGTGACAGCTTGGGGATATAATGGTTAAAGTAACTACTCTAATTGGTGTTTTTTCTTCTGGACACATTAATAAAATAAACAATGAAATAATAAAACTAGAACAGAAGGGGGTTCTGGTTTTCTTATTTCGGATCACATGGGGGTAGGGGTGTCTAGATGATGATTACGTCATCAGTAGTTATTTACTTTTTTATAAGAATGGCAACCCTCACATTGTCTATGCTTGAAAACTAACTTTTCGGGGATTCCCGCAAATAATATATACGTTTAGGCACTCCCTTTAGAACCGATTAGGGGAATTACAGCTGCTGTTTATGAATACGACTCTCTAGCATGGTTTGAAACTAGTCGAGTTCCTCGTCAAACAGTTAAGCTGAAAACATAATAAATAAATTAGACTTTATTCGTTAGCAAATGAGAACTAACTCACAGTTAGTGACAGTCGTCAGTTAAGGGTACTTTAAATTGGGACAATGACAGGGTATGAAAATTAAAAATATAATTAGTCGTGTAAGTTCGGTAATAAAAAAAAATATTAGACATGTATTTTTTATTTTGTCGTATAATAAAACAATACTTAGATAAAACGAATCAAAGTTTAGGAGTGGGAGCTAAAACGTCATTTCAACGTATAAAATGTACATAGAAGTGACGTCACGCGACATTTCAAATCAATATATCGTCGAAAGTATTCGTTTCTGTAAGAAAATAAAAAATACGCGTCTAATGATTTAAAATAATTTACCAGGCGGACATTAAAATAAAAATTAGGCATCTACCCTATTTGGCCCTATCACCAATCTGGTCAGCATATGCCCGTCTAGCGCGCCCTCTACCTATTCGCTCTGTATACTTCTTTCGTTACTCTAGTTTCATCCATCCTTTCTACATGTCTAAGGCAGCGTAACATTCCCTTTTCAATCCTTAGGGTTTACTCTTGAATCCAATTCCGATCGATCGTCATTGGTATTGT